TTCAACATTACTTTTTGTTATTTTTTATTTAGTAATTTAATTTTGATTTAATTAGATACAAATTTATATTATTTAATAGATTGTAAAACTTAATTAAATGTAACATAAAGTTTATTTAAGTTTATTTTTTTGTATAACTTACTTAGAATGAATTTTAAAAGATATTTTAAAAGTGAGAGTGGTGATTTGTGAAATTTTGTTTTTTTTTAATATAATGTTATATTGAATAAAATTTACAATATTTTGCTAAAATTACTATTTTAAATTTCTTAAATTTTTTTTATTCATCATTATATGGAAGGCATTTTTGAATCTAACATTGCTTATATGCATTTTAGATAATTAATTTAGTCAGTAATGACTAGCTTTAAAATCAATAAGCACACATTAAAAAAATGTGTAATATCATTTTTATAAAAATTTCAATTAACATTATGTATTAACTTTAAACTTAATCAAGATACATTTTTTAATTTTTATATCAAATATAAGAAAAAATTTTTTTGGTAGAGATGATTTTTAATTAATAATAAAATCAACACTATTATTCAGACTTATTCAATTTAGGTAATCCCAATATCAAAAATCTGATGTCTAAATTCACAAAAAAATAATAAAAATTTCAAATAAAATTTCAATTACTTTCGAATTAGAACAACATAAAAAAGTTTTATCATCAAATACCATTGATAATTATAATAAGTTTAATATACAAACCAAACAATTTTTCAATCCCTACAAACCCCAACGCCAACGCCAATCCCCAACCCCAGTGCTCAAAAGTCAGTTTTTTCTAACGGCCCCGACCATATTACTACAGTAAGTAGTGGTAGTAAATCTGTAAAAACCAAACCCAAACTAAATTCTTTTTTAAATATCATTATTTAGGATAATATTAAAGTATTTTAATTAATATAATATTATACTAAACATCAACACTAACTATAAAATACATGTGTATATGAATGGAAAAGGAAGAAATTTGTTTTATTTTATGGAAAATTTAGAGATTTATTCTAAGTTTATTTTGAGAAAAGTATTATTAATTAATTAAATAAATCAATGTAATTGGAAACAAAATGTCAATTTAAAAGATAACATTTGATATAATTTTTTTTCAATTTGCTCTATATTAAAATAAATTATTTTCCGAATTTAAGTTTCAAAATATCCTCTTAATCTTATTAATTAAACTTAAAAGGTATTTCTTAATAAGTTCCTCTAAAAAAATCAAATTTGTAGACTAAATAATAACAAATATCGTTATCATAGACAATATTTGTAAAATTAAATTTTTCAACTCCGTTCTCATCTTAATATATGTTACCTGAATACCCAAAATGTGTCTTTACTCTTCTTAGCAATTTTCCACTATTTAATAAACTTACTGAATAATCTGTTTCATGGATATTTTCTTATTCTACCATAAGATAGTTTTTGAAAATTATAATTTATGTTCTAACATCTGTTATTTTTTTTCTTTATTTTATTACTCTTAAATTTTAAATGTAAATTATATAGTGAAATAGCTCTGTGCTAACTAAAACAAATTTCTGTAAAATAGATTGGAAATAAAAAATAACATTAAAACGAAATTTGATGCAGATTTCTTTCTCAATTTACAAATTAATCTACTCTACATTTATATGGAAAATAATATTGTTTTTTAGTAAGTAAAAATTTTTAATGCTTTCAAATTACAATATATAATAGGAATCTTCTAAATTACTAAAAACAAATTCTTTCTTTTATTAAATATCAATCAATATATAACCATGTAAATCTCCTTGAAACATAAAATAATTCGATTTTTTAGAAAACTAAAAATTCACGTAATAAAATCTTCTGACCAATTAACTACTTGTAAATACAACTACGCCTGAATTCAACTCAATTAATTTTACTCTAAAATGGCTTTTATACCTTCCTTATGTTCTTCTTGAGGTCTGATTAATTTTTCGAATTTTTTCTTCAAAAATAGCCAAATGTATGGAGTCATGGGATAATCCAAAATCAAATATTTCATACTTATCATGATGATTTTCTAATTATTAAACATTTAATTTATTTTCATTAAGGTTGGTAATAGGCTTCTGTATTTCATACTCTAGTTCATATTTCCACTTTAGTATTGAATTTCTGACTTTAAGTTTAGAATTCATATTATATTTTTTTAAATTTAATATTTTATATTGAATTAATTAAGGGAAAATTATTTATTATATAATGAATAGAGGTTAAGTACTGCAAACGATATTTATTTAGAGTAAAAATTAATAATTATTTTAAGCAGATCTAATTTGATTTGGTTGGTTCTCATCTAAATTGTTAAACTCCTTCCTAAGCCTTGAAATATATTTTATACTCAGATAGAATTCATACTTCTCCAGAAATAGATGATAGAAGATAATACATATCAATTATCATTATATAATTCTTTCAACATCATTCTTACTTTTATAATGATAAAAAAATCTAAATTTAATATTCTGAAGTAATTTATTTCTTCGTTTATGATATTCGTTTTTATTAAATTCTTAATTATTTTTACTTTAAATTATATTTAGATGTTCATTATATATAAATAAATTTGAATAAATCTACAAAAATGGATAACATTAGTTTAAATGGACAAGATTACACTATCGCTTTTAAGCATTATTTAAAAAGCTAGGTTTAATCATTCAATAGAATATTTTTAGCAGTTTAAAATTACGATAGAATTGAAGAAGCATAATAAGAAATTAATAATGCCTTGAATGAATCTTAATCCTAAATTTGCAGAAGTCTAAACTTTATTATTTAAAATATAAATTTAGATGAATTATATGAAAAAATGAAATTATATAATAAGGCATTTGAAGATGTAAATAGCAGTATATAGATAAATAATAATAATACTGAAAGTTATTATAAAAGAGGTAAACCTTAAATCTTATGATTTAATCAACAATTTTATTGGAGAAAATAATTAATGAAATGTGTTTAAATAAATAAAAAATTTTCTATGGCTAATTATAGAATGGTAATAGAAGAAATTTTAACTTTTAGGAACTATTATGAGGAGTGTAAACAAAAAAGATAAAGAACTCTTATATTATAGTTAAGCTATAGAAAAAGATTGTAATTGTTATATTGCTTTTATGCATAAAGGTAATATAAAATGTTAAATTAAGATGTATATTACATGAATAATAAAAGGAACGGTTAAGCTCTAAGAAATTTTAATCAAGCTATTTAAATTAATCATAATTTAAGTTTAGTTTACTATAAGAGATGTGAATACTTACAGTTTATATTTAGTGATATTATTCAAAAAAATGATGAATAAAATAAAGCAGTAAAAAAGTTAATTTGTAGGATCATTAAACAATTAGTTTATATCTAAAGGTTATGGTATTTAATATTAATCCTTCTGCAATATTTTGATCTATTGATGGATAAGAAGTACTAGGAGATTAAAAAAAATTAAGATTTCATGTTCTTAAGATTGCCTTTTTTGTAAATTTGGAATATGTTTAGGTTATCAAGCTGCTTAAAGACTAGAAGAAATAGAATGTAAGTTTGATTTTAATTAAGCCAATTAATTAAAAACTCTCTCAGGGAATGAAAATGAATTAATATTTTATTGATTTCTCTTGATTGTGTTTATTATAAAATTTATTTATATTTATATTCAAACAAATATATTATATGT